CTCTAAGTCAAAGTAAAAGGCCCCACCACGACTCACCCGAGTGGCCTGGTGACTTGGCTTCACAGTGGTTTAAGTCACTCTTCACACTCCTCTCCTCCTCACTCACGTTGCCCTGTGGCTACACTGGCCACAGTGGAGGCTTTGCTTTGTCTCTTTGAAAATTAGGCCCACCTACGCATGCGCATTAGAAACGCCGTGGCCATCTACAGGATGCCCTGTGCTCCGCCTCTGCCTTCTTTGTGCCCCCTGCAGGACACATGCAGGTGGAGCTTCTGCTCTATCCAGGCATCGTGGATTCCTGCCACCTGACTCCACTACTGGAACACAAGCTCCGCCAGGACCAGTCATTTTCATTTCTTTGCTTTAAGACCACCTTTATTTTATCAGTATACCTGAGATCTACATAATGATCACATTCATTACAGGGAACTTGTACCTGTACCTGATAGATCTTGATTCTTTTTTTCCCATCCCCTTCCCCTCCCTTCGACCCCTCTTCCTCTCCTTATTTACAAATTCTTTGATTCTGTTTTTTCCTTCTATGTCTCTTCCTTTCTTTTCCCCTCCTCCATCTCTTATTCCCTTCTCATTTGAACATTTCTTCCCATTTCCTGATATCTGTTATACATTTTGGTCCTTATTTACACCCTCAGTTTCTCATGCCAGAGAAACCATGGGGTGTTTAGACATGTGTGTCCACTTTATTTCACTTTAGGGCGTGTCCTCAAGGCGCATCCACTTAGCTAGAAATGTCTCAAGTTTATCCATCTTTTACAGCTGAGAAGTACTCTGTTGTATAGCCCCTCCCCATTCTTTATACATTCATCAATTGATGTGGACATTTGGCCTGTTTCCAAGATTTAGCTCTTACGAACGGTGCCACTATAAGCATGGGTGTGTGCCTATTGCTGTGGTGTGGTGTGATGCTTTTAATTTTTCTCAGGAAGATACCAAGAAGGGAAATAGGGTTGAGTGGAACCTCTAATCATGGCTTTTTGAGGAGTCTCCACATTGATTTCCATAGTGGTTGCACCAGTCTATACTCCCACCAACAGTACAGAAAGGTTCTTTTTTCCCCACGGGCATTTGTTATGGGTCGGTTTCTTTCTTTCTGGAATGAATGTGGGGGAATCTCAGTGTTGTTTTAATTCACATCTCTGAAATAACACAGTGATTGAACATTTTTTCCCATATATTTATTTATTATCCTTCTTCATCTGAGAATTGTCTGTTTCAGATGCCCATTTTTGATTGGGTTTTTAAATTTGGAGCATCTGAGTTTTTGAGTTCTTTATATATTCCAGATAGTAGTCTTTTATCTGAGGAACTGCTGGCAGAAATTTTTTCCTGTTGACTTCTTTTGCTGTGAAACAGCTTTTTAATAAGATGGGATAGCATCTGCATGATCAGGGTTTTGTTTATGAAATCTTTGACTACACGTGTGTCTTCAAGAGTTCTAC